TATATATATAAAACTGTATAACAGAGTAAGAAATCCATTTTAGATAGTGTCCCAGTGTACACACACACAAAACACCCCAAAACTTTTTGAACCATGTGGACAAAAGTTTCTTAGGATCTGCTAAGCTGCTTTCTGACATTTCTGTTCAATTGCTTTCAATATTACATGTTTATATACTCATTTTATTTTCAGTAGGCTTACTGTTCTTAGCCTCATTTTAAAAATTTTGTTGAGAATATGGTGTAGCTTATGGACATAGAGGCAAGGATTATGAGATTTCATCTCACCTATGTTGAGAAATCAGTCCTGGCAGGACATCATGCGTGGTAGAATAGAAGTGCAGTGAAAAAGAGGAAGCCCTTCGATGAGATGACTTGCCACAGCAACTGCAACAATGAGCTCCAACAGGAGAACAATTGTGAAGGTGGCGCAGGACAAGGCAGTGTTTCGTTCTGTTGTGCACAGGGTTGCTGTGAGTTGGAAGCGACAACACCACCTAACAACAGCACGGGCCATTCACTGTCAGGAGTCCCACTGGCGCAGTGTTTAAGGACTTGACTGCTAACTGAAAGGTCAGCAGTTGGAACCCAATAGCGGTTCTGTAGGACAAAGATGTGGCGCTATGCTCCTGTAAAGATTTACAATCTTGGAAACCTTATGGGCAGTTCTGCTCTGCCTTATAGAGTTGCTATAGGATCACGCTGATTTGGAATCAACTCAATGGCAATAGGTTTGGTTTCAGTATGGCCCTGTGGCCAGGAAAAGAAAAGGCTTACTTCATATATAAAATAATGTATACTATTTTATAAGTCCCATAATTTTCTTACTCCTATCATAGATCTCTTCACTAAGTTTATTATATCCTAAGCTTATTTTATTAATGTCCTATGCCTTAGTTTTCTTTCCCTAGTATCTTAACATAATCACTGCATTTTATATGCTCCATATGCATAGAGGTTTGTTTAATGAATAAAGAAAAAAACAGGAATAAGAATTATTACATCCTAAGTTTATGATTTATTAATGTCCTATGTCTTAGTTTTCTTTCCCTAGTATCTAACATAATCACTGCATTTTATATGCTCCATATGCATAGAGGTTTGTTTAATTAATAAAGAAAAAAACAGGCAGACTGAGAAATTTCCCACTTTTATAAACTGTTAGCAAATTTATTTGAGTAATTTAAACTAAAGGAAAAATACCATAAGACCAATACAAATTGATATAAGAATTGTTGTAGTTGGTTTTCATGTCTCCAGTTTTGACAATTTCCCAACAACTTTGTTCTCTTGATACCTATATAGAAGATGTAAGATTGTTGTTTTGTATGAGTTATACCTTTTATTGAGAATTAGGTCAAGTTTTACAGAGCAGACTATAAATTTCACATTCAACCACTCACATATGTTTTGTTTCAACTCATTCATTGCAAGCCCCTCAATGCACCCTTGATTACCCCACTTTCTCCCTCTATTTCCTGTTTCCAGTCCTCCTTCTTTCTTAGCACCCTAAAAACTCTGTCATTGGATTAATACTGCCTTCCAAAACAACTTAAATGATTGAATATGCAAACACAGGAATGCATTGAAGGACAGAATTGAAGGACAAGTAAAGGCTATAGTCTTGGGGGTCCCACCAGTTTTTATCCAACCAATAGGTATGGCCTGTTTTATACTTTGAGTTGTATTCCATATTTTTATCCCCCCTCTATCCAACCTTCTAATGGGATCCTTTTCAAAGCGGTTGGTAGTGGTTGCTGAGTACCATCTAGCTCTGGTTTCGTGATGTTTGTGTGGTCCACTACTCCATTGGACTAATTATTTCTATGCTCTTTTCTATTTTTATTACTTTCCTTTCTTACAGATGGGAAGAGACTAATAGTTACACTTTAGATGGCTGCTCATGATATTTAAAAACCACAATTCCTGCAAGTAGGATGCACAACCTTGTCTTTGTGACCTATATTATTCCAGTTGACCTTGGTGTCCCCCAAGACTATGTTCCTGATTTCCCAAGTCCTTTGATTCCCTCAAGATGTTTAGTTATGCCTAAGAAGTTTTCATAATGTTGCCTGCTCTAAACTCCACCACATTCATGGATATTGTGATAGATTGTTTTTATGCCAAGTTAAAGATATATAATAATGTAGGGGTGGAATCCAACCTATTAATCAAGTCATAGCCTGATGATGCCTTCTTGGGTTGTGGACTTCCCTCTCTCCCTCTCCCCCTTGGTCTTTCTGCTTGCTGGGACTCTCTGCCACTGACCCTGAGAGCCAGTAGAGCCCTGTCACCTTTTCACACCTCTACAGAACTCTGCACCCACACGTCTGTGATCTTCTTGCATTCTGCATGTGGCTGTGTGCGTCTGACTATGGTCTTGTATCTGACTTGTGGACTTATGAGTGGGACTGGGTGGACATGGTTTCTTGATAAATAATTACTTCCTAATATAAAGCTCTTTCTTGTACATATATGAGTGTCTCGGGATTCGTTTCTCTAGTCAACTGGCCTAACACAGATATAATTGCAGCGGAGGTAAATGCACATGTAAAATATCCTTGGTCAAACACATATAGTCATGGGTATACTCTCACTCTCCCAATCACTGTTCAGCCTGCGTGTCTATCTGAGCACCTACTTACAAATCACTATCGTTGCAGGATTGTGTATATATTTGTCTCTTTTGCCTTTAATTCTTTCAAACTTCCCAGTATCTTCCCCTGTCTCCACCATTTTTTCACTAACATCCTTCTTATTTTGCATTACTTTCCCCTTCTGTAGTTATCATTTGTCTACCCTCTATATGATGACTCCTATGACTATAGTAACCCAGATACTGTTCTTTCTGATAGTTAGGCGCTATCTGATTTCTTCACCACTTTTTGCTATAACATCCATATCTCCAGTGTTTTCTCCATGAGATCAACTATTCAGTAGGGCCACATCATAAGAACTAATTTTTTTTCTTAAATTAGGGTTACAACTAAGTGAAAGCTCAAAATACATTCATATATCTATGGTTTCTATATGTTCATGGGCCACATTAGAAACTTCATTATCATTTTATTGGGGAACATTATAAATCTTCCCCAGGAGGCATATGACAATCCTACTGATAGTATCATTAATTTAACCAGTGGCTTAGAATTAAAAATACTGTTGAGAAAAGAAAGTTATACATGTATGGGACAGCTTTTTAATCTACAAAATGGGGATGTTTTTATTTGTACAGATTAAAAATGTAACTCAATGGGTACTATACAAACAATGAGGGTTGGAGATAGGGCGAAGCTTTCAATAATGCTCGTTCACAAAGACAGAACTGGATTGCTGGACTAAGACATCATTAAAAAAGCATGGTGTGTTAATCTGGGTAGACTAGTGAAAGAAATTCATGGACAATTATGTGTGTATAAGACAGAGTTTTATATATTAGCCCATATGTCTGATAATGGTCTATAAAGTCCTCTTCAGACTCACAAAACACATGAAATGATGCCAAATGCAGGACAATCACAGACCAGTGGGTAGAAAGTCTTTGGATCCAGTGGCAGCATAAGCATCTCAGCATTGACAGGGGTCTCTACGTGGCTTCTCCAGTTCCCAAGGCTACACCAGGGTAGGTGCATGTGGCTTCTCCTCAGGGATGTCTCACAGGGAGTTAGCCTTGTCAGTAGAGAGTCTCCAAGGAAGTGAGCCAAGAGAGAGAGAGTCTGTCTCCTACCTCTAAAGAGGAAATTACGGGAGTTCCCAGAATTCTCAGGAGCTGGCCATGCCCACACAGAGGTCTCATTGGCTATGACCTGATTGAAACACTAGACTCCACCCCTTCACTCTTAATCCTCTCAAGTCCCAAGTTGACACAAGATTATGTAACTACCACACTTCAAAGTAAAAGCAAGGTGAGTTTGATGTAAAGCCCAGTTAGCTCACTCAGTGGGGTTTTTACATCGGGCCCTTCCGGTGTGGCCTCTTTAGGACATGTGTCTTGAAAGAACAGAGTTTATATTCTAAGTGGTTGGTAGGAAACAGACTGGGTCACCAAGGACTCCAAAACCTCGTTAAAAAATGCCCACTTTTTTAACCTAGTATTGAGCATTTCCCCCCCTTGGCTTCCACATTCAGTATTATTGTTTTCCATGCCT